CACATGACACCCGTGCATTCCTGCTTACTGCTTCAGGCAGCTCCTCTTTGTGTGTCCTCTTCATCTTTAGAAAGAAATTGAAGGCTCTTAAAGTATTTCTGGATGAACGAATTCTTTTGAATAGCTTGTTTCAGTCGCAAACCTGCAGCCTCTAGATTTTATCCTATCAGTTCCCAAATACTTCTACCTTCTCATCTAAATAATTCCAGACACTACAAGTTGTTCAACTGTGACAAATCCTTCCTTTTATTAAACATTCTCTGCCTTTCATACACCTGTCACCTTTTAGAGATGTCATTCTCTAAGTTTTGAGAATTTCCAACTTTCTTCTCCAAATCTTATTCTGGAAATAGCCTGAGTTGCTGCTGCGTATGCCACCTATAGATGGAGAGTCAAGGTCCAATAAACATGCTTTTAGGTTGTACATTTTCAATTCTTTTTGTTTAAGCTGCTGAAAGAATCCATTTCCTTGGCAATTCCTGAAGTTTTTTCATTCTGGGTAACTCATTAAGTTTACATGTTATTGTCAAGAATAGCTGATTGACATACCTATTGCACTCTTCTTCCTTCTAATATATCACTTGAATAGGAGTGTTAGGACTACATTTGAAAACTGTGAATGTGTTTTGATGAAAATAAATCAGCACAGCCTCATCACAAGCCAACATTTCGTCATCCAAACGCAAGATTGACCTAGTGAAATATATTTTTTAATTTTACATAAATGTTTAGAAGGCTTTTGTGAAGCATTACATATAGAGATGAGTAATACTGTTCTGCAGGTGGGATTCTAAATGTTGAATTTTAAAGGCAGTATTCTAGCCAAGTACTCAGGATTTTTTTTTTTTTTCTATTTCTTCTTTTACTGCTGCTGCTCAATACTGACCTTTTCTGCCCTTTCACTAGAAAGTGGGAACATGGAACAGACATCAGGACTGAAAGAGAATTTTCAATTAAACACTAGAGGCTCCAAGGGAAAGGACTGCACTAAGAATATATTGCAGAAAACTAAGATTTCTTTAAGAGGAATGCTATTCTAGTGCTTCAGTTTAAAAAAAAAAGCCACAACAATCTGCAGATATAAATATGTATCAGTATCAAAGACAAGATACCTGATTTGTTAAGACTGTGCTGTACCATATCAATAATGCAAAGCACTTTGCAGCTGAGAATTTCTGTTACCAAGGGGAGCACTTGATAAGAGCTACTGCAGCAGCTTCCATTCCTTGGTCTCTGGTCAGAAATGGTCCTGATATCAATGGAAAGGGGCACTCATCCCACTGTTTTACTATGGGTAGTTCTAATGAGCAAGGGAGTTCTAGTCCTCTTCCGCACTTCAATGAACACATTACTGTCAATGTAGACATATCAAGAAAATGGAAGGAGGCAGCTGAAAAGTGAGAGAAAGGTTGTCTGCTAGTAAATGCATGAGAATTAAATTTGTAATAAGCAGATTCGATTTCACCTCTGTCAGAAATTTCCTCCAACATCCTAAATAAAACAGTTAACACCTTGTCCCAGCTAGCAGAAGCCTTTTTATTTTTTTTTTACTACAATAAATTTTAGTA